TGAATGCAATGGAGCAAGTATGGGGTGAGAAGAAGGTCCCCGGCGATGTTTCCACTACTGATATTCACCACCTACACAAACAACGGAACACCCAATTATTAAGTAGCAGATGTATAGAATACCAGCGGCTTCTCTTTCAGTAACACTGTTGGATTCTGGCTTGCTATCCCTTCCCCCTCAGGCCTGACCTAAACTCTAAGGGACCTCAGGAGACTTGCACCCAAGGGAGCAATGGGCAGTGGCAGCTCATCCCCAGCTAACCCCTGGACCTGGTCCCAAGGCCCCCGTTTCTCTGGTCCAGTGAGCTGACAGCACCCGCCTAGGCTCACTTCTCTCCCGTAAGGTTTCTAGGGAGCCAAAGCAGCCCCGCCTATTCTCTCTCCCGTTGCTTTTATCCTAAGCCCTTCCTTGTTTCCCTGTCCCCAACTTTAATAAACCTACTCTAAAAAAAAATAAAAGAGCAATACACAAAAGCACGCACAAGATGTTAGATTCTGTTTTCTAAATGCCTCTAGTCTAACCCACCTTCTCCCCATCTCCAGTCTCTACCTCAGTTCCGAACAGATCATTGAAGTCATTTTCTGTATGGCCACTCCCTATAGGATTTGCAAAGCCCGTGCGCACTCCAGGAGACTGCCGTCCAGCCCCTGCCTACCTGGGCGCCTCACCTTAAACCATCTTCCCGCCAGCAACCCACCCAGGAATTCGCGCAGCGCTCGCCAACCCCAGAATGCGCTCTGCTGGCATTTTAGCCTTTGCAAATACCCATTCCCTCCTGTTTAAAAAAAGCAATACACAAACACACACAAAATTGTTAGATTCCTTCCATCGTGGGGCTGAAGCGCCGGAGAGAGCGCGCGTGCCTTCTGATGTGTCACCGTCGTCCCTATTGCATCAGGCCAATATGGCCCCGGAGAGACCGACATTATCCCCCACTTACCCGCTTTGTACCAGCGAGTGAAGTAACGATCCACAAGTGACGGCGCCGCGGACTCCACGGCCACCGGCTCGGTAGCCATGGCGACCTCGGGCTTCGCTCCCTCCGCCCTCAGAGACCCGAGCGCTTCCTCCATGTTGGCCCGGAGGAGGCGGTCCTTCCGGCGCGCGGTCTGCGGAGTGCGCATGCGCACTGCAATACTGGCCCTGCAGGCCCCGCCCGCCGACGCCAGTCATTGGGCTTGGGGTTGACGTCAACGTGGGGATCAACTACAATAGCATTTCTCTGTGTTTCTGGGGCCGCCTGCGGAAAAAGCCGGTCACGCCCCTTCGGCCGAGTGACGTCTTTCCCGCGCCACTCCGCCCGTGTCGGGCCTGCTTCGCTTGCGAGTCGTTGTCCCATCCGCTGCCTCTGCGCCTGCTTCAGCCGCTAACTACCTCGGGGCTCCAGGGGCCCAGTGGCCCGGAGGC